CCCCCCCTTCCCGACCGGCGACACCATCGCTACTGCCTCCACTCTGCTCACCCGTTCTCCACCCCGCTGCAGGTTGTGTCAACTCCGATGCCGGCTGTTCTCTCCCACCTATATCAGCAGAGGCAGCGGGCATCAGAGGGGACACAGACCGGCTGTTGGGCGCCAGAGCCTCTCTGGGAGAGAGAGAGATGCCAGAGAGTGGGGCGGACCAGGACACAGAGTGCGGTGCTGCTGTACAGGTTGGAGAGGCTCGGACCAATAGTGTGTGCAATAGTCAGCCTGCTATTGGTTATTGCAATTTGAAATAGCCAATAGCAGGCTGACTATTGAACCCGCCCACTGCCTGCTATTAATCAGCAGAGGAGGACCTAAAGGAGAACTTTCTCCTTAAGGCCGGATTCACACCTAAGCGTCAGCATCTTTGCACGTAAAAACGTGTGTTTTCTTTGCTGCACATTTATGTGCATTGTTGCATTTTTTTACTTATTACTTACATTAATTACGCATATTTTTAGGAGCAGATTGTGATACATTGAAGTAAATGGACATAACCCGTGGATGCGTGCAAAACGTACTGTAACGCGCGTTTTCAAGCATTTCCTATTGAGTATAAGGGGCAAAAACAAGCTGAGATTTGCAAAAAAGAAGCTCATGTACTTTTAGCAGTGACAGGCGTTTTGCTTATTGCGACAATAGCTATTGGCTATTTCAAATTGCATTACCAGACTGGCTATTGCACATATCCACTGCCTGCTGTGTTTACATTCAGCTGCCTCAGCAGGCAGCTGTCATTCCCCAGTGAAGTGGAAAGGTGACACTAGGGGTCCAAATGACCCCTGTCACCTTAAAAAGTACCCGACACCTAAATGAGGCTCGTGAGCCCCCCATGTGATAGCAATGAAGGTAAATAAAATAAGTGAAAAAATACCCCCAAAAAATGTAAAGTCCCCCACCGATGCGCACATACGAACAGGAACACAAGTCGGGTGCACCTACGTACGAAAATGATGATTGCGCTACATGAGATCCACATTAGAGATGCACCGAAATGAAAATTTCCAAACCGAAATTAAACCAAAATTTTAAAAAATGTCAGGCCGAAACCGAAAATGTTTTTTATTTTAACTTTTTCTAAATATTTTATTTATTTTTTATAAACTTTTTAATTTTATAATATTTATTTATTTTTTATTACATATTTAATTTTTTTTACTTTACTCCTGATGTTTCCCTTTTAAAATAGAAAAAGAGATTGAAGACACAGTCATCTATCTCTTTTTCTGCAGCCTCTGTTATAAATTAACAGGAATCCTCTACACTGAGTGTTCCTGTTCATTCATAACATGAGGACAGAGTATGTTTACTATAACCACAATCATGAATGAACAGGAAGTGATGTAGATCACTTCCCATTCATTCATAATTGAGGATATAGTAACCATACTCTATTTACAAACACTCACTGATCACTTAGTGTTTGTACCTCGCTCTCCTTCCTGACATGCTGTCAAAGCAGGCTGAGCGAGCGGAGCTTAGCCTCCTGTGACAGCGCTGGCTGTCTCCGCCCACACACCGTTCTGCCGATCTGTGCCGGGAGGCTGTGCAGTGCAGGGAGGAGAGACGCCTGCCGCACACAGCGCTCTCCTCCCGCAGGGCTTGGCCACCTGTCACAGTTTCTCTCCTCCCCTCTGGGACACGGATGCACCGCTGTATTGGCCAGAAAATGGCACTTTCGGCATTATGCCAAAAGTGCCATTTTCAACCGATGTTTCAGCGGCTGATATATCAGTTTCAGTCAGACAAATTCTGCTGCAGGAGGTGCGTTGCAGTGCCATTCATTTCAATGACTTCAATTTACCAGCTGAGAGAAGGAGGCCTAAGTTAGACACCCTCTAATAATGCTGTTATTTCCTATGTATTCTCTTGTGAGTTTTCTTCTTACCCTCATATTATTCAATCTTTTATTTCCAGCATCAATAGGGCAGCGTTAGCAGCATATTAATGCCTCAATTAATGTCACCGCACATCTGATATGTGACTACTCCACTAAACTCAACAAACCTATATACAGTAACCCCAGATTATGTGACTGTTACAGACCCATGATGAAAAATGACTATCAGATATACACCTCCCAAATTTCTGAAATGGGACAGAGAGACGCCTCCTTTTAGTGCAATGGACACTCTTGCCACACCTCCAATCTTGCAGATCATGAAGGAATAAAGCACAAACAATAAGCCTCACACATAGGCTGCTGCATTTATCGTATATGCGTTTTTGTAGCACATTTATGCGTGTTCTTGATGCGTTTTCATGCTTCATGAGTTTTTCTTTTGGCCAAATATCTCTGTAACATCATTATACATTGTCTTCCTTCGAGGAGACTTAAGCACAAAAACGCAACAAAGATGCGTCAAAATGCAACTACATGCTTTATTCATGTGCTTTCATCGAAGTCTATGGATTCAAAAACACAGTGGGGGGAATTTAATAAAACAGGAGCATCACAATGCATTCATAGCAGCCAACCAGCAATCACCCCCCGGGAGTCAGTACAATTTTGAATTCTAGCAGTCAGTCAGCAATCACCTGTCACTTCTTGTAATTCTGACATCACAATGCATTCATAGCAGCCAACCAGCAATCACCCCCCGGGAGTCAGTACAATTTTGAATTCTAGCAGTCAGTCAGCAATCACCTGTCACTTCTTGTAATTCTGACATCACAATGCATTCATAGCAGCCAATCAACTGTCACTTATGGTAATTCTGACATCACAATGATTCATAGCAGCCAATCAACTATCACTTATTGTAATTCTGACATCACAATGCATTCATAGCAGCCAATCAACTATCACTTCTTGTAATTCTAACATCACAATGCATTCATAGCAGCCAATCAACTGTCACATCTTGTAATTCTGACCTCACAATGCATTCATAGCAGCCAATCAGCAATCACCCCCGGGAGTCAGTTGGATTTTAAATTCTAGCAGTCAGTCAGCAATCAACTGTCACGTCTTGTAATTCTGACATCACAATGCATTCATAGTAGCCAATCAACTGTCACCCCAGCGAGTCAGTTGAATTTTGAATTCTAGCAGTCAGTGAGCAATCAACTGTCACTTCTTGTAAGTCTAACATCACAATGCATTCATAGCAGCCAATCAGCAATCACCCCCGGGAGTCAGTTGGATTTTAAATTCTAGCAGTCAGTCAGCAATCAACTGTCACTTCTTGTAATTCTAACATCACAATGCATTCATAGCAGCCAATCAACTGTCACTTCTTGTAATTCTGACATCACAATGCATTCATAGCAAAAAGGACAAACGTGAGGGCGCAAAGCTAAAGAGGCTATCTAACTGGGCTAGACATTGCAAGGGAAACAACAGAATGGAATCATGTACTTACTACTTGGGTGGGTTCGAGGACCGGATAAAGACCGGTCTGTGGGGAGGATCGTGGTGTCCTAGGTGTGTGTTCTCAATGGAGGCTGGTGTGCTGCCTGAGGCTGCTTATCCCAAGGAGGAGAGAAACGGAGAGAAGAGAGGAGTAGACGGGGGGCGGGTGGCGGCACAAGGGTATTGTCCGTATCCCTGCTGCTGTAAGAGAAGGTTCGGAGATGTGCACAAGTGGCAACTGGCTCGGCTGCTGTGGCCGCAGCTGTAGACAGAGCGGCTCAGTCTGTGTAAGGACCGGGGCTTGACATGTACCCGAGCCGTGATAGTGGTGATGGATCAAAAGTCGGCCGGGAAGCTGACAGGGTGATGAGTGATCGGGTCAGTGTAGTCGTGGGTGTAGGGTCAGGAGCAACGCGTTTCGAGGATACAACCTCTTTTTCAAGCTCAACGAGAATGGTTTACCGCCGCCGGTTTAAATGTGACAGCTGGGCGGAGTTTAGAGACAGTGGGTGGCAAAGCCGCGATTTGAAAGTGTTCAGCCTCGGTATGTATTTACGAGTTCCGTGTGTGCTTTGGAATAGGCTGGAAGGGTTGAACAGTTTAAGAAATTATGAAGGGGAAAATATAGGGAAACGAAAACCAATGATGTTAAAACGAAGCATGGGCGTCAGAGCCATGGATGGATCTTTACAAGTGGCATTGTAATTGACATGAAAACTATATATTTGAGCTTTGTCTTGTGAGTGAACATTGATTTGGAAGATTAGTGATAA